GTGTGTGTGTGTGTGTGTGTGTGTGTGTGTGTGTGTGTGTGTGTGTGTGTGTTTTGGTTTTATAAGAAAGTTTAAAGTTTGATCTGAGCTCCTCGCCTCTGTCTGCATGTAGGTCCATCTGCAAAACTCCGCACAAAAAGTGACAAAAGTGGATGAGTTATTGCCTGCTGGTGGTTTTCAGAGGGTCCAGTGGTGCTGGCAGTCACAGCCTCTCCTCCACCAGGCCATCTGTGGTTACACTGTAGCTTACTACCATCAGTGGGTGACTGTGTATATGAATGTCTGTAAGTGGAAAGCACTTTGGAGTCTTTGTACTTGATAAAGCACCATATAAGTTCAGGATATTTAACATTTTTTTAAAATTCTAGCTCAGAGGAGCCCAAAGTGAGGCCCGCGGGCCAAATTTGGCCCACCAAGCCATTTGATTTGGCCCACCAGCAATTGTCATTACAGTGCTAGGTTGGAACCTGTCATAAAATGTAGAAACACAGTATTTCCACTTAAAGTAAATTTATCCATTGGCCCATTGACTATATAAGGGGCTGTAGTACAGATAGTTTTCACTCATGGTGCTGACTTTGTCTTTGATATATTAGGATTAAACGTGAAACATGAAATGCAAGCAACAATGAGGGATATTTAGATTAGATTTAACCACACATGTACATTTGCACACTTTATAAGGCCACAAAAACTCATATTTTATCAATTTATGAAATATCCCATGAGCCTTTGCTGCTTGACCGTGTGGCAGACTTTCTCCAAGTGTACAGACTAAAACAAAAGTGGGCCACTGCACTGGCTGCAAGCTTAATTGTTAAAAATAATGGACTTTACTTAAAAGTATTTGTATTTCATGTATGAAATTACTGCATTTGGGCCTGCAGCCCTGGATAGATTTTCATTTTGGCACTCTCTGGGAAAATGTTTGGGCACATCTGTTATTAGAAGAATTGTGAAGTACTCCAGGATTCACCACAAGTGCTTGAATAGCTGCTGCTGCCCCATGTGGCTTTGCAGCTAACCATATAATTCTATGTAAAGAACCGTTTAACGTGACATTGATGACAATGTAAAAATTTCTAAAAGTTATGTTTGCAAAAATCATATTTTCTGGGGCGACCTGGTTTGTTTTAATTTGTATTCTATTTTGTTCTTGGTGCCCTTTTAGAGCAGCCCTTAGCTCAGTCAGGTCAGTATTGAACCTGTTTCTCCAAACTGAGGCAACTCAAGGAGTCATCTACAACAGGTAAGATACTAACTATTCATTAGCTTTCCACAGAAGCCCATTTCAAAACTTTCAAACTCTATAAAATAAATGAGAGAATAAACTAAAATTTATAATTCATTTATATTCAAATGGAGTCTGAACATTAAACTTTAAAAAAAGGAAAAAGTAATGGAGATCCAAATAATCAGTCAGATTTCTGATACATTGTGTTTTATTTTATTTGACCCTTTCATTCACAATCAAGAGTCCTATCTGCCAGTCTTTTATGGTGACAGCTTTAATAAAAAGTTAATAACTCTTGCTTTTACTTCTGCCCCGGATCAGGGGCAGAGAGGGGGGAACTGGGGTGTGAAATAGACTCCGGTTTAGCTGATGGACTCATGAAAAGGACTCGGATGGTTGCTTGTCACTCACACAGCAGCCAGAACCGCCCCTGCTTCATCTGAAGTAAATAAATAAATAAAAATAATAAAAAAAGGAATGTACATAGTCTGGAAAGAAAGCCTTTTTTTCCGACCAACAGAGCCCTGAAGTGGCATCATCTTCTTCATCATCATCATCAGCTTCATCGTGACTGGGGAGATCTCGCGCCGCGCCGCGGGGTGGGAGGGGCCGTATGACGCGGCCGTCCAATGGGCTGCTTCCTCCGGACGGAGCGCAGCATCTCTCCGGCTCAGCTGCACTTTTGCGCCAGACACAAGTAGGGACGTTGTCTTCCTCAGCAAAGTGGAGACAGAAACCACGGGGATTATCTACCGGAAGAAGGCTCCTTTATTATTATCATTATTTTATTTTATTTTCACCTCCTCCCCCCACTACCTCCTTTTTCTTTCCTCCTTATTTGTTTTTTTTTCTTTACCTGTTTCTAAGCCGCGGAGATGAACGGCGGCTGCGTCCTTCTGGTGTGCACCTTACTTGTGGGCGCATCCTCGGTAAGATGAGTTCATTCCTTCTCGTGTGCTCAGCTCGGCTCCCAGAAGTGCTGCACTGCTGTAGTGCCTTTACTCCAGCTCCTGCAGGCAGGCAGGCGCTGCGCTGCAGGAGGAGCTCTCCAAAGTGACCGTGAACGCCTCACTTTGCCCCTCTCCCGCAACACGATGGCTTGCAGAGAGCATCAGTGTTGTTTTGTTGTTGTTGTTTTTTCTAAACTGATGGAAAAAAAGTCAGCACTCTTGAGTGTTATTTGCCATTCTCTCAGCTCCAGATGAACTGCAGTGCATGGTTGCAGTGAACAGGGCTTTGTGGAGGGGCTCTCTCATTAACTTTCTCTGCACACTGACTCTGTGCTTTCTCTGCTTTAGATTCCAGGGATTATGCTCAGTTAGCTTTAATGAGGAAGGATGATTAAATGCATTAAAGTGAGTGGCTTATCTGTTCCTGTGCAAACTTCTCATACAGCTCTGCTCATGTGCAGGGAACATGTGGAACAAAGTTAATGTGAATAATCCAGCTGGTTGTTGGGGATGCTTTGCCTTTTTTGCTGCATGTTTTTTTTTATTTAAAGAGAAAAAAACAAAGGAGTTTGTTGTGTTAACATTGAGTTGGTCTATTCATTCTTAGAAGGCATCTTTACTCCTAGATGAGGGTTTCCTGTCCAATCACTTAGTTCATGAATCAGCTTCAAAGATATCTATGAAATCAGCTCAAGACCCCCTGAGTTGCTTAAAATGCTTCTTCTTCTTCTTTTTTTGTTTGTTTGTTTTGTTGACCACAGGGGAGTAGAACAGGCCAGCTGCAGAAGCCTCCTTGTCGACCTGGCTTYTCCCAGAACTTCTACACGGTGATTATCTCCAGGGACGTTCTGCACGGACAGAGCATCCTCAAAGGTAGGTCTGYTGCTGCTGAAGCTCAGTCCTATTTATTGACTGTTTTTTTTTTTGTCTTTTCATCTCTGCACTGTTCCTGTTCTGTCCCCTCCATTGTATTGTGCGAGTTGCCTACTTTGTGTGTGTGTGTGTGTGCTTATAATACAGCGCGAGAGGCTCCATCACTCCCCAAAAGGTCAGAATGCAATCTAGTTGTGGTGGTGCAGCGCAGACACAAGAGTAACTACATCTGCTATTGAGAGTAGAATTTGGATGAGATACTGTATTTTTTTTAGTAATTTTTATTTTATTTTTTACCCCCGTTAGAAAAAGAAGCATTTTGTGATATGCTGTGACAGCAGGTGTGCGATGCATCCTGCTCCACGGTTTTTGTTTGATATGAGCTTTCACTGATGAGTGAACGCTGAAATTACTGTCTGCAGTAAAATAGTGAAAAAAAAAATGGGGAAATTACTTTATTTCTTGATTGACTTAGCAGTACGCTCTCAGAGCAGGCTAATTTAAATAACCTTGTTGCAGCTTGAAAAAGTTTCATTTAGAAAGTGTTTTTCTTTTCAGCTTCTTTTATTAAAGYGTTTTAAAGAAAGCACGGTTCTGTTTTTAATGTTCTCGTTAGCGCCGCTCCCTTCTCAGTTTGGCGCTCTGCACCTGCTGTGAGGTTAATCTACRGCCGTGTGAAAAGGAACGATGCTATTTGGTTGCCGCTGTAGCCATAATGGACACAAATCCTCCCTCTAGCTACAATCCAGTGTTCTGATTTGCACAACTGAGCGACAASAACCACGTTGAACGGTCACTGCAGAAAACATCACGTTCGCACGTGGGAAGCTCTGAAACGCTCAMATTGCCCTCAAGATGAGAGGGGAAAGGAGCGTGGAGTTTTGTTGCAACATTTTGAGCATTTCACGTTCTACTATGTGATAATTAAAACTGGTTTGTTCATCAAAGCGGTTTCATATGTCTTCCTTCATTTCCCTGCTAAATGCTAGAGTCTCACTCATGCTTGTGCACGAGAGCTCAAAAGCAGAGCAGAAGAAGGTAAGCTCTCCCCTGACTCTGTGCCTTTATAGCCAAATATTTGTCTATTGTTCATGAAATGCTGTTGTCTTTTTTTTTCCTTTTTTTTTTTTTTGCCGGAGGAGGAATGGCATTTTCATTGTAACAGCTGTTTGTGGATTTTCCAACTGCAAGCGTAACAATTGAATTATTCTGGAGGTTATTTTGTTATTTAAGAAGCTGACAAGGACGGTGCAGACGGTCAGTGAGGCAGTTTGCCTGGAGCAGCTCAGAACTCAAGGGTTTTTATTTAAATTTTTATTTTATTTTACCTGTTTGGAAATGTTCTTAAAGGTATCTGTACAGATCCACTGCTGCTGCCGCTGCCGCTGCTCGCACATGTGACACGTCCCAGAGCGTTCATTAGATGCTAACTCGTCTATTTGAAAGAATGTCACAGCAGAGCTCAGCTGCATCAATTTGTTTCACCTTATGTGCCGGATCGGTGCAGCTTTCATGCCGTATTACCTTTGCTTCCAGTTTCTCGGACTCTTTGTTTGCTCTTTGTGAAAATCAATCGGAGGTCTGTGCTGTCCTCCCGTGCCGGCTTTTCAAAGAGATCTGGGTTCCAGCAGCTTAAGTCCTCCTGCAGTGATTAATGTGCAGCAGGTAGACTTATTGGAGGTCTGTTTCCTAAACAGTGGCGCACACAGCCAGAGGAGAAGTCTGGCACTAACAATATGAATAACCTACAACTCTCACTTTGCAAGAAAATGAATGTACCAGTGCTGGATTTGTGGAGGGCTCCGGGATGCTCTGAAGCTGCAGAATCGCTGGGCGGCTGTTGGCCGAAGTGCTTGCCTCTCCTGAGAGGTGAGCGGTGAGGGATGGAGAAAAGAGCAAAAAGCTGCAGCCCAGCAGGTGCAGCAGGAACCAGGCTTGGGTTTTCACTCACTGAACAATCTGTCTGCTTCCACTCGTTTCATCCTGAGGTGAAGGGACCAGTTGTTATGTTTCTGTTTGCTTGGTGTGTGTGTGTGTGTGTTTATGTGTGTGTTTATGTGAGTGTGGGGGCAGGGTTGTGGGGAATCTGCTCTGAAATATTTTTGCTGTCAAATTCATTATCAGCAATCGTAGTTAATTAAAGGTGTTGGAAATGTTGCCCTTGATGCAGGCAGCAGCATATGCCTGGCTGTCACACTGTGTATCCAGCTCTCTTTGTACTATAAGGACCACACGGCTGTTGCATCACACCTTTCCTCCATGCTGACAATTATTCAAGACACACTGGAGCATATTTTTCAATGTGTTACCTCTAAGGACACTGTTGATTTCCATTTATTACATTATGAACTGAAAAGCACATTGCGTTTAACCGTTTACCATAAAGCGTGTGGAAGCAAAACAAGATCAATTTCTCTGTATTTTGTAGGAAATCAAAGTCTGTGTCTGTGATTACATCAGTTCTGTTGTGGGATGTGCTGTAACCAAACCACAAGTGACTGGTTTGATTAAACTGAAAGAAAAGGAGGAACTGATGCAGCTGAGGCAGAGCAGGCCACAGTAACTGGGGTTATGGAAGGGGGAACGTTTGGAATAAACCCAGAGGAGTCACACATTCCTGTTTATTTTCAGTGAGAAGTTGTGTTCAGTTCGTCCAACCTTGATGAAAGAAGTTTATGCTTCTGTCCATAGGTCAGTAGCTAACACTAAATGGTTTATAAGGATGAAATGATGTGAATTGCATACGAGACTCCTGATAGTCACCATCTTTCATTTCAGCTGAATGGTCAAAAAAGGGAATTGTTTTGTAGGTGGCTGTTTTGCGTCGACGCTTGGTAGTAAAGTGTCAGTGGTGTGCTCAGTTTGCCAACCACCTTTTATCGGCCAGASCTGGCTTTTTCTTTTTCTTTTTTCCTTGGGGGTAAAGGTTTACAAAATGCTAACATTGACCATGGTCCAGTTATGTTACTGTCAGAACAAGTACTCACAGAGATCTATTGAACCCAAGTTTTCTTGTTCCTTCAAAAAGGGTTTTTAGAGACATGAGCTGTAGACGTGAAAACCAGTTTTTATTTTTTCATTCCCCGAATTTCATTCTTTACTTTATTTATTTTCATAAAAATATAGTTTTTAAATTATTGCATTATATTAAATCTGTGTCCCGTTTAACTTGATGATGATGATGATGAAGATGATGATGATGATGATGATGATGAGCAGCTCACTGCTCAGCTGCATCTCCACATTATAACCAGATTGTGACTGAGACAGGCCAATCTTTACCTAAAACAGCCACAGTGTTAATACTGTAGCTGAAAGCTGTGTGTGAGGTTGAGTGCAGTCAGRATGACCCAGGGCGCAGGCAGAATCCAAATAAAAAAATATGTATTTTAATAAACAAAGGAAAGGCTGTCGTGGCAGCAAAAACTACAAAAAATCTCAGGGAACTCGAAGAATATGGAACTGACTGAAAACAGTACAATGATCAGACAAACACTGAAGACAGGACACAGAATATAAAGGTAAACTAATTAGGACAACAMGAAACACCTGGAGCAGACACAAGAGGAAACAGGTGAGCGAGGGCAGGCTGCAGGACAGGGAAACACTGTAACACTGAAAACTAAGGAAAACAAACAGATTATGACACTGTGAAGTCTTTAATAAACTCCTGTTTTGCTTTGCTGATGTGTTTTCTTGTAGATGAGTTTGCTGAAGTAATAAATCTACGTTGCTCTTTTCCTCTTTGTTTTAAATTGCGGGGCCTGTCAGCTGCTGGATGTGCCAACAGGACTTACTGATAAATGTCTTTCCATGTCATAGACATTATATGTTGTTTTCCTATAAACTTTGTGACAGGGCCTAAGAAATGGACAACATTCACTGTAAGTCTTTACCCTGACCAAATCAATATGCATATTCACTTAGACACAAAACAATAAAATAGACGATAAACCTACAGTAAATCATAAAATGACTGCTAACGTATTAAATGATTTTTGTGATTATGTTTGTTGTTACAGCCTTCTCTCAGATATGTTTAGATTTTAGTTTTATTTTGGTGTTTAAGCTCTGATATAATAAGAATCAAAGTGTATTTTCAGTCATATTAGAAATGTTTAGTTGTGCTGCCACTCTGAGCTAGATTAGTTAGCATTGTATGAGTGAAAATGGGTATAAGCATGCATTGTGAAACGAGTGAATGGCTGACACTTAGTCTGTTTCTGTATGTGCATTTGGTAGTGCAGGCGAAGCAGGGTATTTGAAAAGAAAAAAAGTGAATTGCGGTGAATTTTAAAAAGCGTTTGTTGCTTCAAATGCCCATCTATAAATGAAACATGTCTGAGAGATTTTGTGCTGCAATGAAAATCGTTTTTTTTTTTAGTTTCTCCAGTTTTGTCACCATTTGAAGGGGCAATATTATGTGTTTCTCAGGCATATATTTAAATACTAAACCATAATAAAGTATCTGTGTCACCTTTAGGTGTTATTAAAAAGCTGTTTTTTAATGTTTAAATAGAAAATAAACTTATCTTCTCATCACTTCCTCTTCTAAACACCTTGAAATTGGCCTCTGTCTCTTTAAGAACCACCTTCTGCTTCTGTCTCACCCATTTCAGTGCGGGGGAGGGGGTTTCGTGCTCGCAAGGGGGTTGAGGCTAATCTGAAAAGAGCTTCACTGAGTGAGAAGTAGTATTAAGAGCACAGCAGACAGTTTCARTTTCACTTTCAGTTTCACCCGAGAGCCTGMAGGAGTCATGGGCGGAGTGTGTCGGGAGGGGGGAGTGGGGGTGCTCTGCCATGAGGAAGTTCAGCTTAAAGACACGCCCCAGGGGCATTTCTGGTACCAAAAGGCATTTCCGGTCCCCACCTGTCATTTTGCTCCTCAGCATGGCTGCCTAAAAAAACACTGCAGGATTTCTCAAACATGCATGAATGAGTGAAAGCAAGGCTTTGGGCATGTTTTTTATGAGAGTATAACATTATAACATGATATAAAA